GTATGACCAAACTCGGTCAAAGTCTTGATCCAAATCCTGTTCAGGTTTGAATTTACAAAATGTCTTCATTTCAATTCTCAGATAGTCTTGTATGTATTGTACAGGAGTTTTTCCTTTTAAAATTGACTGTCCTCTACCGTACGTCTTAATTTCTGCTTCTACAGCAAACCCTTCTTCAGTGTCTGAGTCTGAATCTTCGTCTTCATCATCAAAGCTTTCACTTAGTGAAACAGATTTAGGAGCGCTAGTTATTATGGCTGGGGGTTCCGGAAAATTGATATCGAGAATAGTTTTTTGAGCTGGCATGAGAGTACTCCACTCTTTTGACAAAGATTTCGGTGTATGCAAAGCAAGGTTGGTTATTTCCCTTTTCAAAGCCATGATTTCATTCGTGTCTTCTTGATCAAGAAAGTCAAATTGCGTCATAGAGAGGAATGCGTAAGCTTCAGAAAAGTTTTTGATGATTTCTTCAAAGGTTTTTAGTTTAAGGTCTTGTTTGGGTTCCGCATTTGCCCAGTCTCCTTTACAAATTAGTTGTACAATTCGGAAGAGTTTTGATGTTAAGTCACGAAAAGCATTGTTGGTTTTGTTTTTGGAAATGATTTCAGTTGATGACAGGGGTGTATTTAAGGAAGAATTGGATGTGCATGTTGAAGTGGTTAAGGTAGCCAAGCTTCTTCCTGGTGTCTCTTGTTCGATAGGAGTTTCAACTTCTTCATGTATTTCGTTTTGACTTTGAGTTTGGATCTCAATATTTTGATCAACGATGATATTTTTGCAAGGCCCTCCCGGTTTCTTCTTCATTGCCTTTGGTGGCATTTTTTGGATGGTTTTTCTTTGTTTCGATTTGTCTTGGATTTTTTTGAGGGTATTTTCCTCTTTTCCTTACGTCACCTTTTGTAGTTCTCCTTTTGTTGATAGTTTTGGTTTTGATAGGGTTTTTGATTATCACCTGTGGGAGATGCCTAATTGAGGCTACATCTTAGGTCACTTGTGCACTTTTGAAAACACTTCTTGCATTGGAGCTTGGGTTTCAGAGATAGTTTTGGAAAAGAGAAAATAACGATAGACGCAGCGAGAGTTTGGCGTTTTTTTTTGTTTTTTTTTGATTGATTAGAAGAGAGGCGGCGTAAAGTACCCACGCTCTGCTACCACTTTTGTGAGAAAAAGAGATGTCAAACAGACAAACTCACAAAGCTGAAAAATGATATATAGAATGGATGTGAAAACAAAAAAAGGAGTGATTGAATTAAAGATATGAATCGAAGTTCTTTTCGCGAGAGTGAAGTGTTGAATTTATAAATGAGAACTCAATGAATCAGCCGGGACAAAGTCCTAGTTTTAACGAGTTGTATTTTTCTTGATGACAAACACTTGGTCAGAATTTCGGAATTCGGAGTTTTGCGAGATGAAAAGCTTCTCTGCTCGGAGATCTGCTCAGGTTCACAATTCGAATGCAAGTGATGAAAATCATGCTGAATTCGGAAAACAGGAAAGGAGTTGCTGAAGGACGCGGATTAAGAAATCTATTCAGAAGATGTCCTTGCTGGGCCTGGGAATCGAACTCGGGTTTGGTTCCCAGGCTCCAGTAGAAGCTGTTAGAAATTTTCGGAAAAGACGATCGTTTTAAATTAATCTGGCGCCGAATTGTCGGCATGCCGAAGTTTTTTCCAACACACATCATGAACAATCATCCAATACCTTCAAAAATGACAAAGAAATGGACACGTTCTTCCAGCAGTAGTTCCAGGAAATGTAACAGCGACAGCGCCAGCATGTGTGAATGCGATGAAGGAATGACAAATGCATCCAAAAAAGTACGTATATCACACTTTTCCAAATTTTTGAAGATGTCATCATTTCATAAATTAATTTTAAAGTATACTTCTCGAGATACATAGTGAAAAATTATACATTCATTACTATGTTTCAGAAGAGTGTGCGCTGTGCCAAAAAGTGGAAGGGCGTTCCAAAAAGGGGGAGGAAGCCAGCTATCAACATTAGAACACCATCCAGGATAAGGAGCAACAATGTCATGAACCGGGTCTTCAACCGTGGGGAACAGCAGGTAATATCACAATACATATTTTTATAATATATACCACATGATAATTTACAGAAATCAGTATATTGGAAGTAACGGGATGGATATAAGCAAAAATTGCTTTTATTGTGCTTATATTGTGCTTTTCTATGTGTGGGTTTTACGAAATGAGAGGACACTTTTATTTGTTTGGAAACCGTTTATGTACAAACATTTTTAACGCATTTCATAACAAATGTACAACATAAACAATCATTCAACAAGAAATGGTTGTACACCATTTTGTGCACCAACAGGCTCATCACATGGACAATGAAGCAGTGTAATTTTGTATGGACAAGCCGGGTTTCTGCAGATGAAGTACAACATGATCCATTTTTGATATCTATCCCACTGCGGTAAATTTGCATCAGCAAGGGATATGTGACCAAACTTCAACTGTTGGCCGCAATGTGTGTGTGCTAGAATGTTGTCTCAGTCATAATTATCTATATTATCAGTCCAGTACATCTTGTTCCAATCCTCCTTAATTTATTCGCAGCAAAGGTAGGTCAGCTTGTATGTCCGTGGTCCAGTCATTCTCCTTGTAAACTGTAAAATTTTTGAAAGAAAATTGTAATAACAAATTATATTTTCCAAATGTAAAACAAATTATACCTTTGATTGCACTTGTGACAAGTTTCTGGAGTTATATACGTTGCTGTTTTTCTTTAATGAGCACGACGTTCACGAACGACAGCACTTCTTTATATATTCACGTGAATAAATGACATACAAGGACATATAATTACATATAATATTGATATTTTAATTCACGTAATTAATAAGTTATGTATTAATTATGAAATAGTTATACACATTGATACTTGATTCAAATGAACTCCGCACATAATGATCACACTACACTAAACTTTAATTTTGTTTGGAAGAATATGATGCTTTCCTGCACGTAAGGGATATTTTTCATCCATGATGTGATGGAATACCAGTGCCAGTCATCCCCCAGGGCAGCCAAATTTTATATGCAGCAACTATAATAACAGCTGAAGGCGATTTCTTCAAGGACCAAGCTCCTTCTCCTGAAAAGCATGCCTGCTATTGGCTGCTAGCATATTGCATTTTTTTTCCTCCATATGTACTATACTTTTCATGAAGGAGACAACCAACTTGTCCTTGAAGAGAGTGTCCAATTACTTTTGGCATAAGCCTTTATTTTTCGCGGTTTATTATGGCGGAATTTACCATCAAAGGACAGGCGTATGTATTACAAGGAATCCTATTTCCAGGGGCTTGTCAAACATGTGTTTGGTCATAAATCTTTTCACACATGGTCCTTCCAATTCGTTGGAAGGAACATTTGGTCCTAAAAGAAATTTATTTCTGCTGATTGAAAACCCAATCACAACTATATTTTAAAAAAAGTTTGATTCTTACAGGTTTTACATTCTAGTATAGTATACATGTAGCATGCAACGGGATTCGGAAGCCATGGTTACAGCTGACTATATGAAATTCCTATACAGCCATCCAAGGCTCCCAAATCCAATTGCAACTATATATCCTGTAGAGTGAAGGAGCAGAAGGTGGGAACACAGCAGTCAGTATATAGTAACGATACGAGATTGCAGGAGTCTGGGCTATGGTCTTAACAATTTCCAGACAAGTAACTCAGGCAGCCTAACCCAATCACAACTACAAATCAGCCGATCCAAAGTAATGGGATGGTGGGAGTTTGGGCTATGCTGGTATTATCGATTTCCAGACAAGTAGCCAAAGCTCTCAAAACCCAATCACAACTCTTTCAGCTCAACAGTCGGTTTAGCAACGGGATGGTGGTACTTTGGGATATGGTCTTTTACTGGTCACGAAAAGTACCCCAGATTACCACAAACCCCATAACAATTCATTTGCATCACATGTGCACGTTGTCACGGAATACTTTCATAATTACATTCACAACTCCTTCTCTTCCGGGACCTTCAAAGTACATGAACTCTTATAAGAATGAAGAACCTGTAAAGAACCCCAAATCCCACTGAAGAGATTCGAACTCAGGAGATCCAAAATACAAGCCAGTGTTCAAACCAACTGAGCTACCCGCTTCGGGCTGTTATCCCTATTTTCCAAAAGATCAATAAAAGACACTATCGCAGTTAAGAAGAACGTCTTCTTCTGTACGCGATTAATCTAATAAAGATTTTAACTTTCCAAGAACAACTTTTTGTCGAGAAGATTTCTTTTCCTGTAGCCCGAAGGGAATCGGGGAATTACATATTGTTTTTCTACCAACAATACAAACATGTACTTTTATTTATCAGAATCGGGTGCAAATTCCGGCTTCTGCTGATCTTGGAGAAAGCAATGTGGCCATTAATGAGGAAAAAGCAGGACCAGCACCTTGCCAACTGAGATGCGTTGCCATGGACCACATCATGAACAAACATCCAATACCTTCAAGAATGTCAGAGAAACGGACACGTTCTTCCAGCAGTAGTTCCAGGAAATGTAACAGCGACAGCGCCAGCATGAGTGAATGCAATGAAGGAATGACAAATGCATCCAAAAAAGCACGTATATCACACTTTTCCAAATTTTTGAAAATGTCATCATTTTATAAATTAATTTTAAAATATACTTCTTGAGATACGTAGTAATGAATGTATAATTTTTCACTGTTTCAGAAGAGTGTGCGCTGTGCAAAAAAGCGGAAGGGCGTTCCAAAAAGGGGGAGGAAGCCAGCTATCAACATTATTACACCATCCAGGAAAAGGAGCAACAATGTCATGAACCGGGTCTTCAACCGTGGGGAACAACAGGTAATATCACAATACGTATTTTTATAATATATACCACTTGATAATTTACACAAATCAGTATATCGGAAGTAACGGGATGGATATAAGCAAAAATTGCTTTTATTGTGCTTATATTGTGCTTTTCTATGTGTGGGTTTTACGAAATATTTTTATAATATATACCACTTGATAATTTACACAAATCAGTATATCGGAAGTAACGGGATGGATATAAGCAAAAATTGCTTTTATTGTGCTTATATTGTGCTTTTCTATGTGTGGGTTTTACAAAATGAGAGGACACTTTTATTTGTTTGGAAACCGTTTATGTACAAAAATTTTTAACGCATTTCATAACAAATAATTGCTTTTATTGTGCTTATATTGTGCTTTTCTATGTGTGGGTTTTACGAAATGAGAGGACACTTTTATATGTTTGGAAACTGTTTATGTACAAAAATTTTTAACGCATTTCATAACAAATGTACAACATAAACAATCATTCAACAAGAAATGCTTGTACACCATTTTGTGCACCAACACGCTCATCACATGGACGATGAAGCAGTGTAATTTTGTATGGACAAGCCGGGTTTCTGCAGATGAAGTACAACATGATCCATTTTTGATATCTATCCCACGGCGGTAAATTTGCATCAGCGAGGGATATGTGACCAAACTTCAACTGTCGGCCACAATGTGTGTGTGCTAGAATGTAGTCCCAGTCATATTTATCTATATTATCAGTCCAGTACATCTTGTTGCAATCCTCCTTAATTTATTCGTAGCAAAGGTAGGTCAGCTTGTATGTTTGTGGTCCAGTTGTTCTCCTTGTAAAAGGAAAATTTTTGAAAGAAAATTGTAATAACAAATTATATTTTCAAAATGTAAAACGAATTATACCTTTGATTGCACTTGTGGCAAGTTTCTGGAGTTATATACGTTGCTGTTTTTCTTTAATGAGCACAACGTTCACAAACAGCAGCACTTCTTTATATATTCACGTGAGTAAATGACATACAATGACATATAATTACATATAATATTGATATTTTAATTCACGTAATTAATAAGTTATGTATAAATTATGAAATAGTTATACACATTGATACTTGATTCAAATGAACACCGCACATAATGATCACGCTACACTAAACTTTAATTTTGTTTGCAAGAATATGATGCTTTCCCTCACGTACAAGGGATGTTTTTCATCCATGATGTGATGGAATACCAGTGCCAGTCATCCCCCAGGGCAGCCGAATTTTATATGCAGCAACTATAATAACTGCTGAAAGCAATTTCTTCAAGGACCAAGCTCCTCCTCCTGAAATGCATGCCTGCTATTGGCTGCTAGCATATTGCATTTTTTTTCCTCCATACGTACTATACTTTTCATGAAGGAGACAACGGACTTGTCCTTGAAGAGAGTGTCCACTTACTTTTGGCATAAGCCTTTATTTTTCGCGCTTTATTATGGCAGCATTTACCATCAAAGGACAGGCATATGTATTACAAGGAATCCTATTTCCAGGGGCTTGTCGAACATGTGTTTGGTCATAAATCTCTTCACACATGGTCCTTCCAATTCATTGGAAGGAACATTTGGTCCTAAAAAAAATTTATTTCTGCTGATTGAAAACCCGATCACAACTATATTTAAAAAGACTTTGATTCTTACAGGTTTAACATTCTAGTATAGTATACATGTAGCATGCAACGGGATTCGGAAGCCATGGTTACGGCTGACTATATGAAATTCCTATACAGCCATCCAAGGCTCCCAAATCCAATTGCAACTATATATCCTGTAGAGTGAAGGAGCAGAAGGTGGGAACACAGCAGTCAGTATATAGTAACGATACGAGATTGCGGGAGTCTGGGCTATGGTCTTATCAATTTCCAGACAAATAACCCAGGCTACCAAACCCAATCACAAATTTTGAAACAAAGCAGAAGGTCGTAATTGGATGGAGGAAGCCTGGGCTACGGTCTTATCAATTTCCAGACAAGTA